TCAGAAGGATGAGATACTGCAGACAGTGAGAGAGGTAGGTCTCCTCTGGGCAGGCCCTGTGCAAGACACTGCCTTTCCTAAGCTGACCACGTTCTCCTTTGGTTCTCTCTTGCTTTGGCCCAGGACCAGATGAGGCTGGAGGAGGGTCTGACAAAGCACCAGCGCTCTTTGGAGGAGGAGCGCCTGAAGCTGCTGCAGCAGTTGAAGCAAGCGGAGCAAGGCATCACCGGGCGTATCCAGAAGCTGCTGGAGGAGAACCAGAGGTGGGATCCCAGGGTGTCTTGCAGTGATCTCAATCGCTCAGAGGCTCGTGTTATTTTGTCCCATTCTGAGCAGTTCATTTTGCCCTTTCTGAGTGTTACTGAACTGGTTAAATCAGTGTCTGTAGGAGGTGCCTTAGTGTTGAACTGCCAGAGTCCCAGTTAAAGGGAGTGGAATTTGACACTTTCAAAAATCTGTTTCACACATCTATGTGCTGTTGGAGTTTTGCAGTGCTGTGGCAAAAAATTTGAATTCCTCATGCAAGTGTGTATTTTACATAGTTGAAGGTTACCACTGCCTAGATCTGCTGAATCCTCTACTGGGCTGGTGCAAGGTTACCACCTGCTTAAAGCTGCTCTTCTGTGCATGAGAAGCAAAGTCGTTTTCTGCCTTCTGCAGGAGTAGGATGCCCTTCTCAGCTTGATGAAAACCTCTTGTTTTATTCTTTTCTTAGGCAAAAACAAAGTTCAGACATTCTGAAATCCTTGGAGAATGAGAGGTGAGTCTCTTCTAGGAAAGGGGCAAGAAGGTGGGAAGAGGGCTGGGACCTTCCTTTCAGAGCCACAGGTCTGAATCCACCTTAAGTCAGGGGTGGTTCATCTCATACCTGCAGTTGGTTCTGGTCACTATTGGAGGCAAGGCACTGGACTCGATGTGCCTGATCTTACCCAGTCTGGCAAACCCAATGGGATGGTGATTTCACCTCTTTTTCATCTCTGAATGGTCCTAGCTAAGGAGTTTGGGGACAAAACCCTGTATTCCCCTATCAAGGACCAACACAAACCCTACAACTGTTAGAAAGCAAGACATTTATGGAGATGGTCCAGTAATGTGTACAGCCTAGGAGGAATGCACTGAAAGCAATGCTGCCCTTCAGCCAACACTCTGAGCAAGCTTTGCTACTTACATCAGCTTTAAAGTGCTCATGAAGCCTCAAGAGAAAGGAGGGACTGGCAAAGTGTTTGGTGGGGGTGTGTGCACATTGCATAGATGTTCTGTTTCTCAGAAAGGTCACCTTTCCAGTCTAAGAAGCAATTGTCTCCGTGGTTTTGAGCAAAATCTATGTTGTCTCGCATAGACTTAGAGGTTCCTTACCAAGAAATCCCCAAGACGTTTGTGTCTCTGCTAAGCACATGGCTTTCCTGAGCAGTTGGCAGGGAGAATCTGCCCAGCCTTCAGTTTCTGAGCTGGGTGGATGCAGGAGAAGTGAGATAGTGTTTGTTTGTTTGAAGGAGTGGCTGAATTGCTCTTGTTTGTTTGGCAGAATAAGGATGGAACAGCTGATGGCAATAACACAGGAGGAGACGGAGCATCTGCGCAGAAGGGAAGTGGCCTGTAAGTTCAGACAACTCTTTGGGGTGGTAAGGTGCAAGAAAGACCTGGTTCCTCTGGAGATGCACTGTGTAGGTGACAATTACGTGGGAGATGCCCTGTCACACACACATTCTTGCTGTGCTGGTGCAGTGGGGCAGAGTTGCAGGGGGTAGCACTGCACATGTGCCATAGCTGAGCCACTGCTTCCACCTTCAGTTCACTGCTGGTGCAAGCTACACTCCCTGTGTAGCCACAGCACGTCATACAAGGGGTTTGTGAGACTGGATATGAGCACACGAAGTGCTTCATGTGTCAGAGGTACCAAGTAGGTGTTAACTGGTCAGGTTCACAAGGCGTATGGTAAACAAGGATGGTGCTAGGGAGCCTTTGCTGCTCATGATGACCACAAACAGATCTGCAGGGGCTGCAAGGGAAATGGAGTGTGTGTGTGTCGTCACCCCAGTGATGGTTTACTTGCAGTGGGATGGGCAGAGCTGAGGGTCAGCAGACAGTGGCTGGGCTCCTTGAACACTGACGAGATGCAAGCCCAGGCAGAGTGGAGTTTGCTCAGCTAATTTCTTAGTAATAACTACGATTCTTGCAGCTGAATGAGTCTGCTCTGAAATGAATGAAGTAGAAAAAGCAAGGAGAGGTTGGACATGGGAGAGAAGGCACTGTTAATTGTGAGGGTGGTGGTAGATGAGTGCCTGTTCTAGACACCCGTTTCTGACCCAAACTGACAGCACTTTGTCTCCTAGCTGCCATGCAACAAATGCTGGCTGAGAGCTACAAGAACAAGCTCATCCAAATGGCCTATGAGTCTCGTCGGCAAGACCTTGTCAACCAGGCCTGCTCCAGGTACAGTGGGAAGTGTCTGGGGTGGTGGTGCTGTTGTGAAGTCCCCTTCTTTCCAGCACTCCCTGGTGTAATTCCTGTATGTACACCCAGGAACTCCTGCAGTTGCTGGAATGCAGCAGGACAGCAGTGTAAGAGCAGGTGACAGCACAATTTAAAAAACCTGTCAAACTTGGTTAAATGCACCACCTTCTAACCACAACAGTATGCACGTTAATCATACTTTGGATGAACTATCAGTTTTTTACACTGTGTATTTTACTTTATTCAATCTCCTAAATATGGAGGATGAAATTAGACTGGTCCTGTTTCTGTTTTGTCAGCCAGTTCAGTGTCAAACACTAGCACAGAACTCCATTCCACACCTCCCAGCGTTGTCTCAGGGATGCTGTTTGTATATACGTAGGACTTGTTGCATTGCTACAGGTACAGAGACCATTCTGGCTCACTCTGTTTGCAAGACGGTGAGAAATTTTCATCTGTCAGCATCTGGCACTGAACAGAAACAACCTTGTGTGCCTGTAACCTGCCCAACAGAGAGCAGGGGTGCTTCTGCTCTGGCTTGGTCTGTGGTGCAGGTTTGGCTTGGTTGTAGGGAAGGAGGTTTTAGATCTGTCAGGCATCAGCTCTGCAGTGCCATGGCTCTTTACCCTTGTTTGGTAGCAGGTGTCTCCATTCCTGTATTCCTTGTTGCTTGCTTTTCCTCTTGTTTGCATCAAGAGTCCCAGCCCCAGCAGTAACTCCATGGCAAATCCATCTTCTTGCAGCCTAGCTGAGATGGATCAGAAGTTCCAGCAAATCCTGGCTTGGCAACAGCTGGATCAGAACAAAGCTGTCAGCCAGATCTTGCAGCAGGTAGGCAAGGGAACAAATTGCTTGTGGAGGGGGTTCAGGGGAAAGCAACTCCATGCAAAAGCAGGATCGAGAGTGGATCACAGGGGCAACAGGGTCTGGGCTGAACTGCATGCAAAAGTTGCTTTATTTAACACTAGGTGCTAAACTTTGAGAATCTCTGGTATTCTGACAAACTGACTGGAGTGTTTGAAAGAAAAATGTATTTATTTTTTAACCAGACAGCAAATTTTCAGAGAAGACAGCAGCACAGACCATGGGAAGCAAAACTGGTCTGATGATTCATGGAGAGAAATCTGAGACAGAAGTGCTGTCTTTTTGACAGGTTTCCTGGGTGACTTGGGGCAAGCTGGCTACAGGAAGCATTTTCAAAGCTTCTGCTCCTTTTGAATCCTTTATTTTGAACCTGGGACCTCTGCAGCTTATTTTTCAGAAGTGCTGGGCAGCCATGCCCTGTTGCACAGCCTGGGTGCTCAGTGCTGTTGAAAACGAGAGGCGGGGTTCACACAGAGCATTCAAAATGTGTGCTTGAAGAACGTGAATATGACTTCTGTGTCTGCCTGTAAAGTGGGTTTTACCTGTTGGGACTGGGGGATCCAAGTAGTGGTGTGTTCAGGACACTGTTGCCCAGAGTAGGCGCTGTTCAGGTGCTCGTTCATGACTCACTGCGAGGTAACGGTTTCTTAGCCCATATGCAGCTGCAGCAACCACCTCACTGAGCAGGATTTTGCCTGTCCCTTAGATTGAGATGCAGAAAGCTGCCTTTGAAGCTCTCCAAGTGAAGAAGGATCTGATGCACAGGCAGATCAGGAACCAGGTGAGTCAGCAACAGAGGAAAAAGCAACCAGCTACTCAGCTCATCCCACCATTCGATAAGACTTCTGAGGACGATCGAAGTGCTGGGAGCATAGAGCAGGGTCTGGAGGAAATGAGGAGCTCTTGTATCGCTAAGAGCTCTGTAATGAGGCATTGGACAGTTGGTTAAACTACAGTCTCCCAGCTCCATAGGAGGGAGTGTCAATGCAGGTTTTAGGTTTGTGGAAGTAGTGGAATTGCCATTGCTTCAGTCATCCCAGATGTGGATGAAGTGCAGGAAAGTGGTCACTAGAGGACAGACCTGCACTGGCTCTGTGGGAGTGATCTGCAATTGCAACTACCATTTCCTTCAGGTTGTGTACTTAGCAGAGCTGCTGTTTCCACATGAGTCCACTGCATCTCCATCCAGCACATCAGAACTGCACCTTGAGCCATAAATTCACCTTTTCTTTCCCATTCTCAGCCTGCCTTTCTGAGCTCCATTCTGCAGAAGGTGCAATGCAGTAGCTGGGGGGAAGAGCAAGAGCTGGTGGAGAAAGTGGTGGTTGATGCGTGAAGATGGGAAAGTAGTGGTGGCTGATGTGTGAGAATGGGTGGCTGGTTTCTAACACAGTGCTCCAGAATCTTCCCTCTTCCAATTTGACACCAGCAGAAAAGTCTCAGGTCAGCAGCTGGTGGATAAGCTTAACAGTTTGGATATATTGAGTCACTCAGTGACCAATCTCTGCTAGAAGCCTATGGATTGTGCAGGGACAATCCAGGAGATGAGCCTCACAACTCTCCACTATTTGAGTTCATCAAGAAGAGCCCTGCAGTTTACTCTCATTTGTTTGTGTAATCAAAAGGAGTTTGTTCCTTGATACCATGGCTGGACCTTTCCCTGTCGAACCCAGCCCACCCCAGCAGCGCCCTGCACAGGCAGTGAACGGGCAGCAGCCCCGGTGCCAGCAGGAATTTCGTGGG